TATGTTCAAGGTCATATTTTGGCTCTTTTGTACTTGTTTTAATTTTCTTCAGCTTCAGCCTGAAATTTCATATGTGCAATTAATGATCTTTTCCACAGTTTGCCCCTGGCCTTGTTTTAGCTGAAGATATGGAGCTTTTCCACCGTCTCTTTTCACATTTGTAGTCAATTTGATTTCTGTGTTTTCCATCTGGCGAGGTCCATGTGTATAGTCAATTTTTTGTGTTTAAAAAAGGTATTTACAATGAAGACAAAGTCATTTGTCTTGAAAAATTCTATCATGCGTTCTCCAGCATCATTTCTATCACCAAGGCCATATTTCCCAACTACTGATCCTTCTCTTTGTTTCCAACTTTTGTATTCCAGTGACCAGTAATTATCAATACATCTTGTTTGTATGTTTGATCCATTTAAGACTGAAAAAGTTTGTAGAATTCTTCAATGTCATCATCACTGGCTTCAGTTGTTGTTGCAAGAATTTGAATAACAGTTTTATTAACTGGTTTTCCTTGTTGTTTTTGTTTAGTGCCGTCAAGTCCGTTCCGACCCATAGCAACCCTGTATAGGGTTTCCAAGGAGGGGCTGGTTTGTTCAAACCGTAGACCTTATGGTTCAAACTGACCTTACAGTCCAGTGCTTCATCCCACAGTACCATACCAAACTCCTTGCAGGCATATGGCTATTATCCTATCACAAACAGCGTTGGACTTCAAAACAGATCTTGAAATAATATTCTTTTTTTTTTTTAAGTTTACTTGGGGGAACATCAGTTTTACACTCATCCTATTGTATTTCATTTCATTGCAATGATTACAATCCCCTGCATGCTTCTATTCCCTTTGGGGTATTTTTTTTTTTTTTTTTGGATGTGTACCAAAACACTCAGGAATATACAATCATTCAAACAGCCAAAAGGCACACTCTGCAAGCCTCCCCCCAACTGGCCACCAGCACCCATCCTCTCTCCCTCTCCATGAGTCTAGAGTGCTCGGCTGCTCCTTCTCTCCATGTCATTATCTCTGCCTCCATCTCTGGCATCACCGCCTCTCTGGGTAGGGTCCCACACTCCACTCCCACTCTTCTCCCTTGATGGTCCCAGGGTCCTCCGCCCAAGGATTATAAGATCAAACACTCCCCAATTTTGCTATAAAACTTCTACCTATGAAGTTGCAGCAATCTCAATTAGTCATGATAACAATTACTATTGAATCATGAGAGTCTTGTCCCATCTCTTTTCACCAGAACTGTCTAGACAGGATGAAAACCACTCAGTGGGGACTTTACATTCTCCCGCACACTCTGAATCTAAACTCCCTCTTGAAAACTTATAAGCCAGTCACTTTGTGCCTTTACAGCCCCCCCCCACTCCCTCACCCCCAATTTTAGGTAGTCAATGTCTAAGTTGCCCATCCCTACCAACCCTGTGTACAGAGGGAATGGGAATGATCCTTGCTGTAAAGATTCGTTCTCTCTTGGTTGGTATTTTAAGCTACTACATCCATAAGTAAGGAGCTCTGGTAGCGTAGTGGTTACGAATCGGGCTGCGAACCTTAAGGTCAGTGGTTCGAAACTACCAGCTGCTCCGCGGGAGAAAGATGAGGCTTTCTACTCCCATAAAGATTTACACCCTCAGAAACCCTATACAGGGTCGCTATGGGTCGGAACTGACTCGATGGCACATAACAACAACAACAACAACATCCATAAGTATAGGTCAAGTTCATCAGACTGTAGCAATTTACACTTTCACCCCCTCTCTTTTCCTTCCTCTAGTCGGGTTCTGAAGGAGCTCTGGTAGCACAGTGGTTACGAATCAGGCTGTGAACTGCAAGGTCAGCAGTTTAAAACTACCAGCTGTTCCGCAGGAGAAAGATGAGGCTTTCTGCTCCCGTAAAAATTTACAGCCTCAGAAACCCTCTACAGGGTCACTAAGAGTCGGAACTGACTAGACAGCACATAACAACACCCCCTCCCCTACCCCCCCCCCATCCAACAAGGAATTTTTTTCTTTTTTCATTTTTTTCCTTTTAGTGTGGGGTATCTCTTCTAAAGCTTTTACAATAAAGGTCTTATGCTATATTTCTCCTTTAGTGGCTGACTAATTTCACTCAGCATAATGGTGGTGCTGTGGGTTAACGCGGCAGACTGCAAAAGTCGTTTAAACTGCAAGGTCGGCAGTTCAAGCTCACCAGCCACTCCTCGGAAACCCTATACAGGGTTGCTATGGGTCGGAACCGACTCGACGGCACTTCACAACAACAACACCGTCCTCAAGGTTCATCCATGTTATGTGGTGGCTTACAACTTCCTTGTTATTCTTCAAGGTAGCATAATATGCCATGTGTGTATATACCACAGTTTGTTTATCCATTCTTCCATTGATGGGCACTTAAGCTGTCTCCATCTTTTTGCTACTGTGAATAGTGCTGCTGTGAACATTGGTGTGCATATATCTACTTGTGTTATGGCTCGTATTTCTTGTGGATATATACCAAGTAGAGGAATTGCTGGATCATAAAGTATTTCTATTTCCAACTTACTGAGGAAGTGCCATACTGTTTTCCAGAAAGGTTGGACCATTTTGCTTTCCCACCAGCAATGTAGGAGGTTCCTAGTCTCTCCACATCTTCGCCAGCATTTATTGTCCTCTGCTTTTTTGAATTTCACTGTTATTGCTGGGTATGAAATAATATCTTATTGTTGTTTTGATTTGCATCTCTCTAATAGCTAATGATCATGAACATTTCTTTATACATTTGTTGGCTGTCTGAATGTCTTCCTTGGTGAAGTGTCCGTTCATATCCTGTGTCCATTTTTTAATTAGGTTATTTGTCTTTTTCTTGTAAGGTATAGTTTCCTATATATTTTGAGAAGAAGTCCCTTGTCTGATATGTTGTTGCAAAATATTTTTTCCCATTCTGTGGGCTCCCTTTTTACTCTTTTGGTGAAATCTTTGGATGCACGTAAGTTTCTCATTTTTAGTATGTCCCAATCATCTATTTTGTTTTCTTTTGTTTGTGCAATCTTCACAATGTTTGTTGAAATATTTTTTTTTTATGATGAATGCAATACCATTCATCTTTAATTTGTCATTCCTAGCACAGTAAAACATGTGATTGTCAGCCCATTTCAGTTCAGTAATGCCTAGGATATCGGTGGATTTGTGTTTCATTTCATTTTTGACAACTTCCAATTTTCCTAGATTCATACTTCATACACTCCATGTTCTGATTATTAATGGATGTTTCCAGCTGTTTTTCTTCATTTTGAATTGTGCCCCATCAGCAAATGAAGGTCCCGAAGGCTTTACTCCATTTGCATCAACACAGACAATGCTACTTTGAGGAGGCAGGTCTTCCCCAGACATATTTTGAGTGCCTTTCAACCTGAGGGGCTCATCTTCTGGCACTATATATCTGACAATATTCTGGTGCTCTTCATCATGTTTCAATATTCAATATTCTGTACTATCTTACAGCGTTCCACTGCTATTCATAAGGTTTTCAGTGACTAAATATTCAGAAGTTGTCCGTCTCTCCTTCTTCCAAGTCTATTCTAGTCTGGAAGCTCAGCTGAAACCCATCCACCATGGGTGACTCTGCTGGTATGTAATATGTCCATGGCAGAGCTTCCAGAATCAGAGCAATACACAAGCTACCACAGTATGACAAATTGATAGCCGAGTGGTGGGTGAATGGGGATAGAAGAAGGAATTCCAGGACAAAATAAGAGCATGTGCAGAAGTATGAAGACATGATGCATCCCAAGAAGAACAAGCAGCTGGAGGAGGTGTGGCCAGCTCACAAGCAATGGCCATATTGAGCGTCTGAACAGAGGCTGGGACCTAGAAACCAGGTGTGATATGTGGCTCTGATAAGACAGGACCTGAACTAAATGGAAAAGGCAGAGAAGGGGTAGGGACAAGAGCAGCAAGAAGGGAAGGGAAGCCCTGTTGGGGAAAGTACAGAGATGGTGCCAACCAGACTGAGGAAAGAGGGTAGGTGAGAGGTCAGTGACTCTGAGGTGGGCCTCTGGAGGTCTCTCTCGGTCCCCTCGGTGAGTGAGATCCCTGACCCCTACCTGATATTGTCGATCCAGCAGTCAATAAAGACAGGCAGCAGCAACTCGAGGTTCAGCCAGAGCGTGAAGTAGCTGTCTGTCTTCTTGAAGCAGAGGTAGTGCACGACTGCTGGCTTGTCCAGTTTCGCCTCCAGCTGGTTACCCAAATCACCAGGCACTGCAGGGGGCATAAGGCAGGCATGAGAGACCCCTGAGAACCTCGGAGACTGTAGCATTAGACTCCCCCCAAAACAACAGGCACTATGGCACATCTCTCCCATCACACACTGCAAACAGAAGGTTACAGTACCTGGGGCAGGAAAGAGCAGAGACCTTGACCCAAAGGTCAGCCCCAGTCTCAGCTTCCCCTTCTTTATCCTCTAGGATCACCAGGGTACCATTTCCACACAGAAAAGTGGCTACTGTAGGCTCAAACACTCAGGATCTGGCTTGTTTTAGGGGAGACCCCTGACACTCTTCTCAACCTTAGATAAAGTAAATCCCCTATCTTCACTGGCACATCCTCCTGGCCCATTCACATTATTAGGAGGGGGTTCAGCTTCAAGTTACATCCCCATGCTTACATGTTAAATGAGATCTTGGTCTGGATCACCTCCCCACCCCAAACACACACAAACGTCTCTCTACCTGAGTTCTACAGCTTGACTGAGAGCTCGGACTGGGAGGGACAGGGAGAATCCTCTGAGTTCTAGAATCCCCAAAGACTGGCCAAGGATTTGATAGTCCTGTCATCAGATATACAATCTGTAAGGCTTAAACTTAAAGGCCTTCCCCCTACAGCCATTCCAGGCTGTAGAGAGGATGGCACGGCCTCACTGCAAGAGAGGGAGTGGGGAACAGGACAGAGCACTAGGCCACTTCACCAGGCAAAACTGAATCCAGAGAAGGTGATGAACAGAAACACAGCTAAGAAAAGCTCACACAGAAGCCTCAAGAGGTTCCAGGCCTTGCTGAAGGTCAGAGTCCAGTAAGGCCCAAGAAGGCAGATCATCTGGAAGGCCTGAGCATCTAGCCACACCTGGACCCTGTGTCAGAAATAGGTGCCTTGAAACAATACTCAGTTCTAGCTACAGCCCTAAAGGGGTAGGGGTGGCCAAGGCCCAAGGAGGACCTCTCTCCACCTCATTGGCCTATCAAGTTCACACAGAGCCCTGGGGCTCTTGTGACATTGAAACCCATCCTCACTGTCATACTGACCTTCACAGTCTACCTACTCCCATATGTCATGTTGTCAATATCTCCCAAACACAATTCCACTTGGGTTCCATGATCAGTCAGCATTTTTGGGGATACCAACTAGGTACCTAGTTCTATGTTGGGTATACCCTCCTTGTGCACCATCCCATAGGGTCCTCAAGGCAACACTGAGAGAGCAGTATGTCACAGAAGCGTGAAGCGCCCCAGCACAATGAATGTAACCTCTAGATGGCATGCCTATGAACACAAGCAGGCAGGGCAAGGTGGAGACCTTGGTCACTGGCTCCACCAAAGAGGAAACAGTCAAAAGAGGAAGTCACCAGATCTGCTTGTCTGGACACCCTTTGTTTTGTTGTTATGTTGTTCTTGTTGTCATGTGCCATGGAGTCGGTTCCAACTCATAGCGACCCTGTATAGGGTTTCCGAGGCTGTAAATCGTTACGGGAGCAGAAAGCCTCATCTTTCTCCCACAGAACAGCTGGTAGTTTCAAACTGTTTACCTTGCGGCTCGCAGCCCGATTCGTAACCACTACACTACCAGAGCTCCTTATGACCTCTAAAAACAGTATAGACTACTTACTGAGCCTCTCTGTGCCCAGAAGTAGTACAAGAGCCATCCACAGTCTTTATCCCCATTAATACTGAGAGTGGTCATCCTTATTATCCCCACTCTAAAGATATGGAACCTGAGGATGGAAGAGGTGAAAATGGCATGCCCACCATCCATACCCGCCGCCCAGGGACTTCTGTATCACTTTTCTGGCTTCTGCTTCCTCCACACCAATTTAGGACCCAGCACTAGAGGCTGGTCATCCTTGGGTGCTGATCTTTTGATGGCCCAGGTTAAGCGCCTACTATGTGGCCAGGAACAGCTCATCCCTTCACTGTGCAGTGTAGGGTTTCTGAGGGTCAATGCCTGCAGCCTCACTTCCTGAGAAGACAGGCAGTTTAGGACGCCAACTATTATGTAACTCTGGGCAGGGGCTGAGGCTCTCTGAGGTGATCCAGGATAACTAAGGATGAGAGCAGTAATGAGTACAGAATTTGCATCAATTCCCAAAACAAAAATGCAGACCATGGAGAAACAGCTGCTCAATGCCTCATCCATTGCTCAGAATACCACAGGCCCATTGCTGTCTCTCTGCAGCCCTCAGTATAAAGTCCGGATGTCTCAACTAGTCATGAGATCTGCACAATTCACCCCTCCCCACACTTCGCTTGTAGTTCCCTTTGCCTGAAACTCTCCTGGCCTCCATGTCAGTTATACACTACAGGAAGCTTTCTCCAATCCATTCACCAGGTAATTGATTCGCTGTGCTTGCCCAGCGGAGACTTCAGCTCATTGCTAGCCCCATCCTGCAAGTTCAGGGTTGACAAGGCCAAGTCAGCTCAAATCCCAGGAGGTTCCTGGGCCCAGCATTCCTTGGACCATGTCCTCGCTCAGAGCTACTGGTAGGGGACCCCTCTGAGTTCAGCTTGCCCACCAACCTACACTTCTGTGACCTATAATCTTGTTAAGTCACTCCCAGCAAACACAACATAAGAGCCCTGGTGGTATAGTGGTTAAAGCACTCGATTGCTAACCCAAAGGTCAGTGGTTCGAACCCAACAGCTGCTCCATAAGAATAAGATGTGGCAATCTGCTTCCATGAAGATGTACAATCATGGAAGTCCTATGGGGCAATTATCCTGTCTTATAGGTTCTCTGCAAGGTCGGCGGTTCAAGCTCACCAGCTGCTCCTCGGAAACACTGTATAGGGTCGCTATGGGTCGGAATCGACGTGACAACACTTAACAACAACAACAATAGCGTCTCTAGGAGCTCTGGTAGCGTAGTGGTTACGAATTGGGCTGCTAGCTTCAGGGTCAGCAGTTCGAAACTACCAGCGGTTCAGTGGGAGAAAGATGAGGCTTTCAGCTCCAGTAAAGATTTCCAGCCCCGGAAACCCTGTGCAGGGTCACTATGAGTTGTAACTGACTCCACAGCACTTAACAACAACAACAACAAAGATTTACAGCCTTGGAAACCCTGTGCAGGGTTGCTATGAGTCGGAACCAACTCCACAGCACTTAACAACAATAAAGATTTACAGCCTGTGCAGGGTCACTCTGAGTTGGAACCGACTCCATGGCACATAACAACAATAACAACATAAGGTCTCTATGAGTCATACTCCACTAGACAGCAGAGGGTCTGGAAACAGCATGGGACCATACTGTAGCAGCCTCAGTATACGTCATATATATCTCACAGGCTTAAACTTAAAGTCTATGAGGAGTCCTGCCCTCAGGAGTCCTGGCTGGCCACCCACACACCAGTTGAGTCAGAGTGATGGCCTGAAGGTGCACCCTGTCAGTCATCACAGGAAGCCACTGTGGCTTGTGTATTGTAGCCCAATCTGGGATGGAAGCCAAGGCAATCTGCCAGGGAAAGGGGCAGGCAGGGAAGGTCCTCAGCCCTAGCCCCAACATAACTAATCCAACTAGGTCAGGGTCTAAGGTTAGAGTACAGGCATGTGATTGAACCCTCCCTGAAACCTGTTAATGGCCACCTTACTCCTCTATCTTCAGTCACTTTGAGTCTCCCTTGGGTTTCTCCACATATCTGGTAAGTTTGGTGGTTGGGGTTGGGGAGGGGGTGGGTGGGAACCCTGGTAGCCAGATAGAAGAGCAATCCTTTCTCCAAAGAGCTTCTTTTCAGTAATGCCCCCTGAAACCTGTGAGACTGGAAGAAGACAAGGTCAATGGTGGGGTCCCTGACTGTCCATCTCAGAAACCACCCAACACCCCACACCGGTCATCAAGAGAGAGGGGGGTGAGGGGCCTTGATCTTTTCAGCTAAGAAAAAGGAATAAGGAATAGGCGGGTTTATTGTGATTTGGGCAGGCAAACCTCCACCCCACCCCCACCCCATATTAGACGGGAGCTGACCACACCCACGCCCAGCAAGGCACAAGATAGACAGACTGATCTGGGAGACAAAACACATAAACAGTAATACGCTACTCCACCCTGTGCTTAGAACAGATGCGGACGCAGAAAAACAGCGCCACCACACCCTGTCAGTCCGTCCTGCAGAAGGAGCGGACCGACCCACCACCGAACGCGCGCCTCACCCAGCACCACCGGTGGACGATGTCGGGCCGGGAGCCCCGGGTCCGCAAGCAGCATTAGCAGCAGCAGGAGGTACAGGAGGCCACCTGGTAGCAGGGCCGCGCGGTTTGGGCAAAGGCAGAGACTCATGGTGTAAGCCAGTAGCTAGAATCCAACATGAGGGTTATGCTCGCCAGACTCGCGCTTCCGCCGGGGTGCTAGCGACGCGTTTAACCCCGCTGCCTGCAGCCTCCCGCAGCTGCCCACCGACCAGAGTCCGCCTCTCGTAAACAGCCTGCCAATAGGGACTCGCCGCCAGGCGCGACCCTCCCAGTCGAAGCTCACCGCCCCGCCCCTGACTACCCCCAGGCCTGCCCCCGTGACCGCGCTGCGCGCCGAGCTCATCGATCGATCGAGGTGTGGTGTTGCTCTTCCCGCTGCCTGTGGCCGACGGTGCGGACCCAGCTCTCAGTTTCTCCGCTGATGGACCACCCGCCAATACCCGAAGTCTATGCTGTGCTTCCGTGACCTGGAAGGGTCCAGAATTGGCCGCTGTTGAACGGCAAAACAAGGAAAAGAAAAGAGGAAGTGTGTCCAGGGCAGCCCGTGGGCTTGAAGGAATTAGAAACTGTTTAGAACTTTTGTGCTTTCTTCACTCCGATTCTTCACACCCTGCCCAGAGGGTACCGGGACTTGGCACCTCTGCCCAGGGACCCTGCTCTAATCTGCCTTTCGGGGTTAGGAGTGGCACAGAATAAGAGGTTCCCCCTCCCTTTCCCCCCTCCCACCCATTTTAGGGTCAAAGAGTGTGGAATCAACTGACCAATAGGGCAATTGGGGCTCAGGTTGGAGAGTTGCTTAGAGCCTCCATCTAGCTGCATGGCCTATTTGTAATTTCTCCTGTGGAGCAGGAAGAGCAGTGAGAACTTGTGGTCACCCCTCAGTCCCACCCATCCAGAGAGGACACAGACTACCTGGGAGAGAAATGGAGCAAGAATCATCCAGGCAATTCACTGGATGTAAAATCGATGGTCTGCTCTGTGAATCTTTATTCAATTCACAATAAAAAGCTTCAAAATTTGAAAAAAGAATTGTCCAGGTGAAACAACAGTGTTCACAGACTTGGCAACTAATCATATGCAGTTATTGAGCGTCACTTTGGGATGAGGTGAGCAATGGAGAACCACTTGAACAAGTTTGAAACCTAGAGGCTTTGACCTTCCACAGACCTCCTCTCATATGCCAGCCCATCATACCTGGATGGTCTGGAGACCTCTTTCCTTCTCCTTGGGAAACAGTTGACCTTTCCAGGCCTCTGGGGTGCCCGTCAATAAAGCCATTCCTCAGATAGACCTGCCCCCTGTGTCCACATATTGAAACACAGGGGTGGTTGGGGTACTTACTGTTCTTTCTTAGGCCCTGGCCCACGGCCCTCCTCCCAAAGCTAATACTGTGCTCACCTCCACCCCCAAGTCCCAGTAGAGGGTCTCAGAGGACCCAGTATGGAAAATCATAGGGGCTCTCTGACTGGTGGGAATCCAGGGCAAAGGGTCAAATGGGGGAGGGTCCTCTAGGCCATATTGGAATCTGGCCACAAACCAAATGAAATACCAGTCCAGCCAGCAGACTCAAGTGACCATAGGCCTCTCTCAAGGTGGCCCAGACCTCTGGTCAGGAACCATGACCTTCGAGAGTATGCTGAGGCCTGGCTAGCTTTGAGCTATGCTGGCACTATGGTGAGGAGTCAAAAAGTAAGGATCCTGCTTTCCACAATCACCCCACCATCCACCTGATAAACATTGGCTATAGACCCAGGATCAGTCTGGACCTCAAACACCTCCCTGGCTCTCAGACCCACATCCAGGTGGTCACCACATCTTGCCAGCTATCCTCTGCCAAAGCCAGATAACCCTCACCCTCACAGTAGCCACCTCACAAGTTATGCCCTCATACCTGTGGATTTTTATCCACATGCCTGATGGGCACCATTAAACATTAAATCAGGTACCATGTAGTGCAAACTGTCAAGGTTGACAAATTTAATCCCATGAGCTGCTCCTCAGAAACCCTATTCAGGGTCGCTATGAATGGAACCAACTTGATGGCATTTAACAAGAACACTTCCCTTATACCCATCTCAGTCATGGTGAGGACCTTGTAGGGTCCTCCAGCCCTCCAGTCTCAATGGCTTCCTTGTTGTATGGAACAGGACAACTAGATTTCTACACTTGCTGCAGTGAGACCACTCTACAACTCCCAGTTTGGGGACTTGACAGCTCTGCATTTAGACGTCAATCCAGACATGGTCATTTAACTGAAGCAGTCCTTACTTGGCTTCCATTAGAATACAGTCACTGCAAGAGCAAGCCCCCACCTGTCCTGATTCTGTTCCATCCTCAGATGTAGTGTAGTGTTACTCATTGGGCTTCTAACCTCAAGCTACATAGTTCAGATCTACTAGCTGCTCCGAGGGAGAAAGATGAGACTTTCTGCTCCCGTAAAGATTTATTACCTCAGAAACCTTTGATAGGTTTGCTGTGAGTCAGAATCGACTCAAAGGCACACCACCAAGTAACCCGGTTTCTCCCACAAAGCTTCTTGTGGATTCAACCTGTTGACCTTGTGGCTAACAGCCCAATGAGTGAGGGTAATCCAGATGCTTAATATGTGTTGAATGTATTGCGTGAAGGAGCTCTGGTAGCATAGTGGTTATGAGTCGGGCTGCTAACTTCAAAACTACAGCAGTTCAAAACTACCAGTTGTTATGCAGAAGAAAGATGAGGCTTTCTGCTCCCGTTAAGATTTATAGCCTTGGAAATGCTATACAGGATCGCTATGAGTTGGAACCGACTCCACAGCATATAACCACCACCACCATATTGAGTGATATGCCTCCCTCCTTTGAGTCCCCCCTCCAGCAGGTCCTGATGCCCATCAGACTTGAAAGGGGGTTACGGGTGGTAGAGGATCAGGAGGTCATCAAGGCAGGAAATAAGTTCTGGAACAGATTGGGGAAGAGGGGAGGTGTTCTTGTGGAAAGGAACATTTTGAGCAAAGGCTGGAGTGAGAATAAACCCAGAGACAGAGGAATCATGCCAGTTGTAGTATCTTAATGGTCTGAAAATTCAGCCCTCTTGTGTTTGGGCCTTTTGCACCTACCCTTTACCCCAACCAATCTTTGACTCCTCCTTATCTGGGCCAGAAGGGTAGCTGGGCTTGGGCCAACCAAATCGATCAATGGGGGCTTTTGGCCTGATTTGGTTACCAGAGCTGAGCATATTTGGATTATCCTTAAAGTTCAAGGCTCCTGCTCTGCAGCCAGAGCCTCCCTGGGGTCATGAAAGGCCAAACACTGACCCACACTTTGGGGGCAAAAAAACAGAACAGACCATCTAACCTGCCTTAGGCATCAATGAAGGCTCTCTGGAGAAGGGATTATTAGAAATGGGTCTTAATGTATAGTAGGAGTTTGCCAGTAAAACAAAGAGATGAATAGGTAGGTGAAAGCTTTAGGCAGGAGGCTCTCAGCATGTGCAGCAGCCTGGAAATTACAGTCATGTGTCTGGAGCACACTGGGTGGGAGCGAAACCAAAAGGGGTTGAGGATCTCGAAAACCAAGCTTAAAAACTTGGCTTTTGTCCAAGTAGCCAGGCGCTATTAAGTCTCAAGTCAAAGGAAATGGTGTCAAAGCAATCCTCCACATCTTGGTCCTTCAGTGCACGCCCTCTCCACAACGGAGGCACTGCGCCCCCTGGTGGGCACTTAGCGGCGATTCGGCAAAGCCGCGGAGATAAGAACCTAGGGTTGGAATGGGGGGGTGGGGTGGGGGAGGTGAGGACTCCATTGCCCTCAGGAGATCAGGAATGGGTAATGGCGGGCCCAAGGAGGCATTTGAAGGCCAAGGTGAAGATGGGATTTGGCTATCGCGACTGTCTGGTCTGGGAGGGCTGGGTCTTTTGGAACCTTACTCAGCCTTCTCCCATGGTCATGTATTCACTCATTCATGATTTCTGAGTCCAGGGATCTAGGAATGAGAACCTGGGCATTTAACAAGTAAAGAAATGTCAGACTCTTTTACCTGGGGGAGGCACCTTATAAGGAGGAGCATTAGGGAAATCTGCTGGATTAAATAGGACAGACTATTTAGTACAAAGGCACTAGAGAGGGCTACCATTGCGGGAATACCAGGAGGCACACAAAATATCCACTTAAAGAATTAATCGTTCATCCAGGAAGTCTTAATGAACAACTGTACCTCTATGATAGGCGCTAAAGATGAGTTTCCGACCTGAATGATTAGATGTTTCCTGAATGGTGATGGTGGGGCAGCAAGATTAAAAGATTCGTCAATTGTGTTCGCTGCCATCAAATCAATTCCCACTCACTGCAACCTTATGTATAACACAACCAAACTGTTGCTTGGTTCTGTGTCATCCTCATAATTATCAGCATGTTTGAGTCCATCTGTTTCAGCTACTGTGCCAATTTATCTCACAGAGTGTCTCCCACGCCCTTATTGGTCCTCTACTTCACCAAATATGACGTCTTCCAGTGTTTGACATATCCACAGAATGCAAGTAGGACAATATTCTGTTATGGTTCATAAGTATTTTCAGAAGTAGAGTGCTAGGCCTTTCTTCCTAGTCTGCCTTAGTCTGTAAGCTTCCCTCACTAAAGTCTGCAGTCTGAATTACAAGATCTGCGGTTCAAGCTCACCAGCTGCTTCTCAGAAACCCTATACAAGGTCGCAATGGACTCAATGGCACTTAACAACAACAGGTAGCCCCTTCAGAAGAAGGTAAGAGAGCTCACAAATTAAGGCTCCCACCATTAATGAATTTAGTTTTACAAGAAAAGCATTGCAGCATGCGGTTGGGTGTAAAGATGTCAAATTTGTTTGAGATTTCATTCTGGAGACTCTACCACTGGGGACGGCTGGATAGACACGCGGGAACTTGAGAACTTGAGGGGAGCTTCCCCAAGCTGCCAGTCCAGTGAGTCAAGTTTGCCAGCCAGCGAGGACGTGGGCATGCATGAGCGCGGCTCCAGGGTGAACGCGCTCAGGACAGCCAGAGGTGCCCTATGGAAGAGGCCACCTTCAAGAAGGAGGTTTCCTGGGAAGCTGTAGAAAGAAGAAAGGACCTTTCACCAAGATCTGAGGTTGAACAATGGGAACTTCCGGAAGGACCAGACTGACCCCGGGTAGGGCTCAGATCGCCAGGCGGATCACAGACATGATCCGGGAGAAAAGCGATACACGATCAGGGCAACGACCCCATGGGTACCAAGGAGAAGAAGAGGAGTTGCCTACAAAGCCGTGGAACCGAGGAGGAGCCCCGCGCAGGCGCGCTCCAAAGCGAGTTGAGGCGGGGGGAGGGACCTCACCTCGTGTTTGCGCTCAGCACCCGCTAGCGGACAAATATTTGACATTCCGGGCTTATCCAGAGAGGGGCGAGGCCAAAGTAGCGACGTTCCTCCCACCCCCACCCCCCAGCGCTTCCGGGGGTGGGGACACGTGGGGAGATCTCCTAGTGGGTCGTGTGGAGAAAGCGACCGCGCTCTAGCTTTCGCCTCCATGGACACAGGGGCCCATCTCCCAGTCCTTCCTGGAACCTGCCCAGCTCAAGACACCTTCATTCCCGGGAGCCTCAGTCACTTCATTCGCCATGGGGTGGGGGTAGGGGCATTGCTGTGTGGAGTTAGTTAGCAGGGTTTAGCAGTCGCCCCTGCACCCCAATTCTCCCGGCGGGCGCTGAGGATGAGTCCTCATCTTTTCTTTCCTTTGTCTGTAGACCTTGACGCCGTCTCCTCACCGCTTCTCCAAAAGCGCGAGGTGAGGCTGCTGCCTGTTGGGGCCCTGCCTTGGCCCCTTCTTCCTACTGAGTTCTCATTCAGTTTCTTACTCAAATAAATGGGAAGATCCGGAGCCTCACCAAATGTAACTGAGCGAAGGGGCCCAGGGAGTCCTCAACGCGGATTGGGGTTATTGGCCTGTGACACTTGCTTGAGTATTCATAATCTCCAGGCAACAGGCCCTGGACCTTTTCTTATCGGCGCGCATGTGTGTCTGTAAATAAAACAAGCAAGAGCAAGGGAGCAAAGATGCTCCAGGCCAGAACCGCTCAACTCTGCCGTGTCTAGGCTACAGCTCTTGGTTGGAGGGAACTTTCTTCATCCGCAGCAGAGTCTGCGCACACTCGGTTGCACATCGACCAGGTTTTCAACGCCGTGGGAACTTCCCAGAGCCAGGCTCCAGCAGGCCCCTCGACCTTTTGTGGACAAGCCCTGCGTTATGACTTCTGTTGACGCCCCTCCCCCACCGCTCTAATTACCCCCTGATGATCCCTGTTGACTTCTTCCCACAACTTTTAGTAGTCTCCCGCAATTCCTTGACTGATTCCTGGTGACCCCCACAGGTCGCGTAAGACCCTCAAGGACTGGAGAAGGCCCCGGGTCTTGCATGTTCCTTTACAGGGGTCTCATGGACCTTGTGAGTTAGAAGTGCACGGGCGTCGGATAAGTCCCGGAGCGCGCACCCAGGCCAGAGTATGCAAGTGCGCCGTCTTGGCTGGGTTTTGGCTCCCCTCCCATACTGTTCTCTGGAGCCGCCCCCGGTCACGTGGCCTACGGAGCCGACAGGTAACTCGCCCAGAAAGGGCGGGGCCGGTACCGCCCCGCCCCCTTGGGCGCCGCGGGCGCGTCTCAGCAGCGCCCACTGCTCCAGCCGGCCCGCAGGTGCCGCCCCCGATACACTGTGTCCCGCCCAAGCTGGTCTGCGTCCGCCGTCGGTCGGTGAGTGCGTGCGCCTCGTCGGTCCGCGTGTGTCTGGCTGAGCGCCCCCTTCCTCTGTGGCCATGACTCCGCCGCCGCCCCAGCCACCGCCTCCGGGCCCCGACCCTGCTGAAGACTCCGCCGCGGACCCCTGCCCCAGGCCGGAACTCTTGGTCGTATTGTTTGGGGCCACGGCTGGTGCGCTGGGGCCCGACTTGGGCTCCGACGAGACCGACTTAATCCTACTAGTCTGGCAAGCCGTGGAGCCACGAAGACGCCAGGTAATATGGAAAGGGGGCAGCAGGGTCCCCGGGGAATTGCAAGGCCCGGGGCACGCAGTGGCTGATTAGGTTTCCCCGTCGCCCTCAGGTGGGTACGCTGCACAAATCTTTAGTGCGTGCCGAGGCGGCAGCGCTGAGCCCACAGTGCCGCGAGGCGAGCGGCCTTAGCGCCGACAGTCTGGCGCGGGCCGAGCCACTGGACAAGGTTTTGCAGCAGGTGAGCTCTGGGGGCTGGGGTGAGTGGCGGCATAGTAAGGCCGCGGGGACATTTCCCGGCGGGAGAGGCGGCAGGAGCCGAGGGGCCTGGCGCGGCGTGACCAACTCGCTGGGGCGGTAGGACGGGTTCCTGTTGTTTGAAACTTTCAACGACTCCCGCGTGTGTCGGTGTCAGCCGACCTTTCTTGGGGGCGCCTTACTTTTCAACCTTTACAGGGTTCACTGCTAATGGAGGGTGGGGATGAAGACTGTGGAAATCCTCCCAGACTCCCTGGAGGGCGAGGGAAGGAGGCTGAAAAGCCTCTGGGATCCTGCCCGGCCGGGTGTCCCGGAGCAGCAGCCTGAAACCGAAAAGGCCGAGGGGCCTGGACTTGGCCATAGGTCACTGCCCTGCTGCCCAAGCTTCAGCCCACCCGCCCTCCTGGGGGCCACTGGGCGGGGGCGTAGGGCGGTGTTTGCCCTGGAGGCAGACGCCGCCAGGTGTAAGTTGCTCGTCTAGGCCTGTCCCATCTGCTGACCTGGCGTGGGCGCTGTCCGGACCCTGCCTGGGGGCTGCCTGCTTGCAGAGTGCTTCCAGTAGCTGAAGTGGAAGGTGGTGCCCATTGCGGTTTTCTTTTTCTGAACCTTCACTCAGGTAGCGGCACCCTTTGCCTGGCTCTAGCTGAGCATAATGAGTGCCTTAATGGCACAAACTCTTTGATCTTCCAACTCTTGGGAAAACTGAGGCACAAAGATGTTCCATCTAAGTCTGTTTCACAAGAGCTCCTAGACTAACCCTCACTGGAGGAGAACAGTGTTGCCTTTGCTCTGCCAGCCTCAGATTGTTACATTTGACAGAGAGGGTTCCAGGAGCCGGTGCTCAGTGCTTATAACTAATTTACAGCAGGGGTGGAGGCTGGGGGAGGGGCTGGGCAGTCTCAGAAGTGCCACCCCCTCTGTGAGCAAACAAGTCAGTACCAGCTGGTCGATAGGGTGGGGGTCAAAGCTCAGGCTGTCCCTGTGGTCCAGGTGTAGAGCTCTGTCCTTGGAGCTTCTCTGCCCCTTGGTTGGTCAGACCTGGAGGCGGGGCTGCCATTGACCATGAGCAGTCTGAGCCTTTGCCTCCCCCACCTGTCTGAGGGTGGTGCTTGGTCAGGGACAGGTTTAACCTGCTCTGCCCCGCCCCTTCCCACCTGCTAGTCCCCTTCCACCAGGTGTTTGCTCTGGCTCCACTCCAGACTACTTGTGTGATGGGGGACTGCCCTCATTTGGCCTGGAGGAGGTGACAGTGGACTGGGGGAGAGGCGCACAGGTTAGACCCAGCAGGCGTGGCCTCCTTCCCAGGCAGGGTAGGGCTTGAACATCTGGCTGAACCAGCTTTGCAGCCTTCCCCGCCCTCCTGCCCCCAGTCCCTGCCTGCCCAGGTGTGAGTCTGTGTCTCTTCCCCACTCCCACCCCCAGTTCTCACAGTTGGTGAGTGGGGATGTAGCTCTGCTCGGCGGGGGCCCCTACATGCTTTGCACTGATGGGCAGCAGCTGCTGCGACAAGTCCTACACCCTGAGGCCTCCCGGAAGGTATGCCACTGAGAGCACTATGGGGAAGGTAGGGTTCCCAGAGCCCTGTTTTATGGTGAGGGCAGGGCAACTCAGTCAGCTCCTCCATTTACTCCTTCTCTCTGTGTGCTCTCAGAACCTAGTGCTCCCAGACACCTTCTTCTCCTTCTACGACCTCCGCAGAGAATTCCATATGCAGCACCCTAGCCTCTGTCCCACCAGAGACCTCACAGTGGCCACCATGGCACAGGGTATCTGACCCAGTAGGGCTAGGGTGGAGGGGTGCCTGGAGACTAGATGAGGACGGGCATGCTTGTGGGTGATAGAGATGCATATATAGTTCTTTGTGTCTGTGCTGGGATCCATTGAAAATAATGACATGTGTCTACGTATGTTTGGGCTGGGGACCTGTAAGTGCACACATGAGCTGGGCAAACGTGTTGGTTGGGGTTCTGCATGCGTCTGTGTAAAATGCTTGGGCTGGGTGTGGCCAGGGTTAGTCTCCATGCTGGTTGCCCCAGGGCCTCTCATACTTGGATTTCTTCATCATGACCTCACTGCCTGTAGACTTGGGACTGGATACTGATGCCACAGAGGATGACTTTGGAGTCTGGGAAGTAAAGACAATGGTAGCCATCATCCTCCACCTGCTGGAAGGGCCCAGTGGTAAGGTTTCCCTTACTACCTAGCACCTCTTCCTCCTCTTTTTGCAGAGCTGGGTAGTCTGTGCTTCATCAGACTCTGCTAACCCCCTGCCATCTCCTCTTAGGTCAATTATTTTCAAAGCCTGAGGTGGTAAAGCAGAAATACGAGACAGGGCCTTGGTGAGTGTGGAGACAAGGGGCAGGGTGACAACAGCTGTACACCTCTGACCCTGTGCTCTGCCCCCACAGCAGCAAGGCTGACGCAGTGGACAGCGAGACTGTGGTGCGTGCCCGTGGGTTACCCTGGCAGTCATCAGACCAGGATGTGGCTCGATTTTTCAAAGGGCTCAATATTGCCAGGTGGGTGCACAGGACGGGTGGCTCAGGAGGGCAGCCTTGTCCTGGAGGCACTAACGCAGCGCTGGCTCCACAGGGGTGGTGTGGCACTCTGCCTCAATGCTCAGGGGCGCAGAAATGGCGAGGCCCTCATCCGCTTTGTGGATAGTGAACAGCGGGACCTAGCACTGCAGAGGCACAAGCACCACATGGGTGTCCGCTATATTGAGGTGAGGCTTCAGCTGGGGATTAAGCAGACCTAAGCTGAGGAGGCCCGAGACCCATGGCTGCTTTCACTCAACCCACAGGTGTACAAAGCCACAGGGGAGGAGTTTGTAAAGATTGCAGGGGGTGAGTATGCCCCCAATGGGCCCTAGTGTTCTTGATACCTGTTCTACTTTGCCACCACCCTCTGCCTCTTTCTGCTCCCATGTGCCAGGTGCAGGTGGGATCTTAGAGGGTATGAATAAAGTCAGCAGGTGACTTCCTTGTCCCCCACCCAGGCACTTCATTAGAGGTGGTCCGCTTCCTGTCCAGGGAAGACCAGGTGATCCTGCGACTGAGGGGACTGCCCTTCTCAGCTGGACCAGCAGATGTGCTGGCTTTTCTGGGGCCAGAGTGCCCAGTGACTGAAGGTGCAGATGGCCTGCTCTTTGTGCGTCACCCTGATGGCCGGCCCACTGGTGATGCCTTTGCCCTCTTTGCCTGTGAGGAGTTGGCACAGGCTGCCCTGCGCAGGCACAAGGGCATGCTGGGTAAGCGATACATTGAACTCTTCCGGAGTACTGCAGCCGAGGTGCAGCAGGTAAGCACCCAGGATTTCCCACTCCCGCACTGATGTGCTGCTTCCCCAGGGTGCCTCTTAGGGCTCCCCCCACCCCACCCCAGTACCATTGTGCTACTTGGCATGACCAGCCTGCTGCTAACTTTCGTACTAGGTTCTGAACCGCTATGCATCCAGCCCTCTCCTTCCCACCCTCACTGCCCCACTGCTGCCCATCCCCTTCCCACTGACTACTGGGACCGGGCGGGACTGTGTACGTCTTCGAGGCCTGCCCTACACAGCCACCATCGAAGACATCCTGAGCTTCCTCGGGGAGGCAGCAGTTGACATCCGGCCTCATGGTGTGCACATGGTGCTCAACCAGCAGGTGAGGTTACTGTCGGTGGTAGGAGCTGGTGGTTAGGGGGAAGGCACTTTTGCACATGTTTACAAGACAGTATGAACAGGGCCGGCCATCAGGCGATGCCTTCATCCAAATGACGTCAGCAGAGCGGGCTCTAGCTGCTGCTCAGCGTTGCCATAAGAAGGTGATGAAGGAACGCTACGTGGAGGTGGTCCCCTGCTCCACAGAGGAAATGAGCCGTGTGCTGATGGGGGGCACTTTGGGCCGCAGTGGCATGTCCCCTCCGCCCTGCAAGCTGCCCTGTGAGTGTCCCAAGAACTGGGGAAGGAGGAGGCAGGTGGGGGCCAGGTCGTTGTGGCCCCATTTGTTCAGCAGAGACTTCTTTCTTGCTCCCTGAAAATGACTACTTCTGCCTCCAGGCCTCTCGCCGCCCACCTATGCTACCTTCCAGGCTAGCCCAGCCCTCATTCCCACTGAGACAGCAGCTCTATATCCTTCTTCAACACTGCTTCCAGCTGCCAGGGTTCCTGCTTCCCCCACCCCTGTGACCTACTACCCAGGGCCAGCTACTCAGCTCTACATGAACTATACAGCCTACTACCCCAGGTATCCTGCTGTCCAAACAGGTATCCCCCGGTCCCCTATCCTGGTTGGGCCAGATTACCGAAGGTCTACTAGAACATGGACTTAGGAGATGAGAGGGAAGTGACAGTTGTTGGCTATCTGGCGGCACTTTAAAGCTGGACTGTTAAGGAGGAATAGAGTTCAGCAGAGTTAAGGGAGACAAGACGGGCCGTGGTGCGATTGCTAAATCCCTGCCTTTCTTGTTACTCTAGCCCCCCAGTCTCCCCTACTGCGGTAGGTTACCTCACTACGCCCCCTGCTGCCCTGGCCTCTGCCCCCACATCAGTGTTGTCCCAGCCAGGAACCCTGGTTCGCATGCAGGGCATTCCATATACAGCTGGTATGAAGGATCTACTCAGTGTCTTCCAGGCCTACCAGGTAAGTGTAGCTGTAGGGTTTGGGGCCTGGCTGAGCCTAGATCCCCCTGCCCTAAATCTCTGTCCCTTCCACAGCTAGCCCCTGATGACTACACCAGTCTGATGCCTATTGGTGACCCACCACGCACTGTGCTGCAGGCTCCCAAAGAGTGGGTGTGTTTGTAGGCAAAGGAGCTAGGATGTAAGAGCTGGCTGACGTCTTCAGCTAACATGCCCTTCTGAATCCTGAGGACCAGCGCCTTGACCTGGTGGCTTCTATCCATCTGTTAAAGCTCTCAGAAGGCACCTAGAGGAGCCCAAGCCCTAGCTCCAACCCTCACTTATTCCTCTGCCTATTCTCCCCAAAGATGATGGCTGGACCCTCCATTCAGAGCTGGGGGTGGAATGGCGCTACCTGCTCCTGTTGGCTTGACTTGGGTGTGGAACGGCACCCCTCTGCTCCTCGTGACTTGACTTGGGTCTCCTGAGTGGAACCTGGAGAGCCTTTGATCTGTCCCGGATATGATTCATGCCCACAGGTTCTGCAGAGCTGATGGGTCCACAGCAGGCTTGCTTTCTTTTTAAAAATAAGCCTTTGTGCCTTCAATGCATGACTCCTTTTGGGAGTATCAAGGGTCCATTTGAGTCTCTGAGTAAAGCTCTTGATGCTCTGCCTCTCAGTAGCCCTTCTGATTGTGGATAAAGAGGCAGAGTCTAAGTCCCCCTCCAGCTTGGCACAAGGAGTATCAGAAGACAGAAAACCACAGGCCGATGGACTATGCTGCAGTACCCTCAGAGAACACTAGAGGGCAGGAGGTCTCTACATAAAACCTCAGGCTTGAATTTTAAAAGGAACTTTCTGCCTACTTTCCTTGAACACCTTGGATGGTTTGTCCTGAATCCAGAAGACACTGTGGAATGTCCTTTGCACCCACTAAAGGGTGCAGAACTGAAACCTTGGAAAGAATTTGGAACACTCTTCCATAAAACAAATAAAGCTTCCTGGCCAAGTGAACTTTTTAAAAGCTGTGGTGCCCTTAGCATTGGCCCCCAGAGTGAGGGGCTTTATATAGCCCTAGGCGGAGGAAAATTCAGACAGATTTCAAAGACTGTTGACCTGTCACCATTTATTATTTCAGCACTACAACTGAGGAGGAGCCTGAACTTCTGGCTCTTCTTCCCTTTGTATTTGTGTGAGGAGCACAGCACTCCTGTGAAAGGGCTTCAAATACAAAATGTACAAGAAAATGCAATGCTAAGACCTGTAAACATAACTGAGAACCAGTTTCTTAACTGAATGTCCATTTTATAAAATACAAGGTTTCAACTGGAGCCCTTCTTAGTCTTAACAATGACTCTCTATTCTGAGTATGAAAAGCAGTGCTTCCCAGCTAGGCCCAGCAGTGCGCCAGTGCTACTGACAAGCCCATGTATGCAGGTGGGTTGCCCACTGGGCAAACAGTACCACACATGAGCCCAGACACCTGGTCCTCGAGACACATTTCTCTGCACTTCAGGAAGCTGAAGACTGCTCATTCTGTTCCTTACCCCATGATCTAGCACAAGTGGAAAGGGAACAGTGGGTGGGTGCTGTCGCAGGCCCAGTTGCTCAGTGCTGCTACTGGAAATCAATTTGCATAGTCCAATGGATGATGTATCGTGTGCTTTAACACCACTACGTTGCACAAAATTTTAAGTGTTTATCTACAATGCCAAAAAATATTAATTCTCAAACCAAAGCTTTTACAAAGCTGATACAAAACAGCTTACATAGTATATACAAAGCTCTATGTTGAAATTTCAATTTTATTTTAAATAGGAAAGCATTTCTAGTACTACAGGCAACAAGGTATTTAAAAGGCATCAAAATTTGGTGCATAGCAACTCTGCATCATAAAGGCTTTTATGCTTGAGGGTAGTAGAGCAACCCCCAAAAGGAAGAACCCTGGGTGAGGCAGCTACCCCAGGGATAGCAGGGCTGGGGCAAGTCTGCCTATCTCTCTGGAACATAATCAGAGAGGCCAGTTCCCTACCCCTAACCTGGACCAGGGAAGTTGCAGGTTTCCTACCATAGGCCCTGAAGCGATTCTCACTATCCACACTTTGATACTAACCTCACTTTCAAAGAAAAAGAAAACAATAGGTCTAAGAGGGGCCAGAGTGATTTGTTGAAGGACAGACATTTTTTACTAACTAGTTTTAAGGGGGAAATTGAAAACACCAAAAAGAAAAGGAGGCCATACTTTCTCATGGTGGGTCCATAGCCCCACCTGGCTGACAAGAGGCGGGAAACAGACCAACTCCCTCAGTCCAGTCCTCACTTAAGCTCAGCAGAGAAAGTCCTGGCATCTAGGGCCTACAATCCCCTGGAATCACAGTGCTAATAAGCCTTCAACCAGCCCAGCTACTGTCACAAGCAGGCACTCAATAATTTGCTTCCTGAATAAATGAGCACACATGAATTCATTTGCAAACTTCAGGGGCTTCATGAGGCCCGGGGGAAGGCAGGGTTTGAAAAAAGCACCCACTTTGGGTATCTCCTTTGGTAGACAGCAGGTTGGGATTTCTTGCTGGCCCCAGCCTTGGGCACCAATCTTACCAAAAGCAGCACCAGGGCATCTTTGGTGTGGAGGGTCAGATCTGTTACACCACCTCATTTTTGGATTTGCCTCAAAGCTTTTGTGTGAAAACGCTGATTTCTAGATGCTGCAGTCCAGTAGAGGGTAGGCCAGAATCATTTCGGGCTGTAAACAGAATGGGGGCTAAGCGTTCCACGTCAGTGTGCATCTTAAAACCTTCACCTCTGGGGTCCAACGTTTCCTCTGCTCTGTCCTGACGCATAGCTGATCTGTGCTTAGCTCCTGAAAAGCCCTGGCACCCAGAGGTCAGTTAGAAAAAGCAGAATTGCCTCACTCATCATTAGACTGAGGCTTCAAAGGTTACAGAACAGACAGTGGCTGGCTCCCATCTGGGAAAAGTTCTGGGTCGTAGGATACAAAGAACAGGAGCACTCCACGGTCTACTTGTTTCTAAGATGGCAATAAAGGAAGGCTACCAAGCTAAAATTCAACTTTCAAAGCAAACTTACAAGTAGCCATCTTACCCAAGATGCTGAGGAGAAAAAAGCAATTTTGACAAGGAGGCAGTACGGAGAGAGCGCAGGAAGGCTACCTAGAAAGTTACAATGACTACACTCTGGAATGTCTTTTTGTATTCCAACACTTCAGTGATGGAATGGTCTCTTCTCATTCTATCTTAACAATAGTTTACTTTTATAAAGAGGTATGAGCTACATTTGGCTTTACTTCATATGAATCTATGAAAGGCTTCAGGACACATGCTGAGTTTCTGAGGCATAGGCCTGAACTTGGGATAAATTTTTGTTTGCCTCTGGAAGGTTTTATCAAAAGTTCCTATTTTAAAAATATCATCAAAGCTAAAAGGCCCTTCAAATGACCATAAAGCAGTACAAATCACCAATCCTAGCTAAGTAACCAGGACACCTGCAAAAGCAGCACCTCTGAAATAGAGCCTGCTGCAGTCACTCAAAAGCACCCATCATATAAAAGTATCCTATTTAAATACAAAAAGCAAAAGCTCATTTCCCCAAAGCTCAAGCAGCCTAAGCTGCTCCTTGTTCTTTTACAAAATCGACCCAAGACCTGAGGCAGAGGACTGCCGCTTTCCCCACAAACGGTGGTATCAACTCTTGGTGCTAGTCCTGAAGACAATACAGTTGGAAGTGCCAACAGGTCCCAGGAGAGAAGTATACGGACACAGAACTGCAGTGAGGGTTGTTAGAGCTCGCCGGATCTTCCTGAATCCAGGGACTCGGGACCGGGGAGGGGAGCTTGCTTGCTCGCCCCTGTTCCATGAGAAACAGAAATCTGGGACATGTCTCTCCCAATGATCTCGTTCACTGAAAAAGAAGAGATGGGGAGAATGTGATTAGTGAACTATGAGTGACTGACCATGATGTCAACACCAAGCATGCTTCAAAGACATGATCCCCTTCCTCTGGCTTTCTGTAATCAAGACAGTGCCGGGAGCCTGCTCTTGTGCTGACTGGCATCAGAAACCCTAACATCTCTCCACAAGCTGCTCCAGACAGCTCCTTCTCTCCCCTCTTCATTGACTTTGGGTTGGGAATGGCTGAGCGAACAAGGAAGCACTCTGACCCCTACTCTAAAGGCTCAGGTCCTAGAGCAGAAACAGGATACTTTTGAAATGAAATCTTGATTTTTTTTTTATTTCTTCTTAATTTGCTCCCAATGGGACAGTTTTCCATTTATGATCTTATTCCCTCAGTTACCTCATATAAAGCGAATGAGAATGAGTACAGTGGGTTACTGTGCTATCCTACTCTAATATAAGAATTCTCTATCATGTGGGGGCATCTGTATTGTTTTTGATCCTTTCTGTTGGTTTTCTTGATGTGCCAAGTCCTACAGGGAACACGGTGTTCTGTCAGGGACAGTGCAAAGAATTCCAATGTTTTATAGAAGGGAAACCTCAGATCTCCCAAATAAGAACGTTGAGTTCTCATACCATTTCATTCTTTCCTTTATCAATTAAATGTTCTACACTATCTCCACTCCTAGGTATCTACCAAAGAGAACGTAAAGCACAGCCATGTAAGAATTTGTACTGGAATGATCAGGAACAGCATTAGGTCACAACAGCCAAAACGTAGAAACAACCCAGATGGCTACCAGATGATAAATGGAGTATTAGTTGGCTTTAAAAAGGAAGTATTTAATACATTTACAACATGGGAAAACCTTACAGACAGAAAAGACCACATATTTTATGATTCCATTAATATGAAATGTTCAGAATAATCCATAAAAACCCACTGTTGTCAGGTTGATTCATAGTGACCGTATCGGACAAAAAAGGATTTTCTCCCAGGGTTTTAAAAGTATCCTATTTTAAAAGTTTCCTAAGCTGAAGACTTTTAGAGGCAGACTGCCACATCTTTGTCCTAGGGAGAAGCTGGTGGGTTTGGACCAACTTTTGGGCTAGCTACTTAATGCGTAGCCACAGCGCCACCTTGTTGTTGTTAAGTGCCACTAAGTTGGTTCCAAATGATAGTGATCTTGTATAGGGTTTCTGAGCAGCTGATGAGTTTGAACCACCAACCTTGTGGTTCAAATCAACCTTACTGTCCTGTGCTTATCCTACAG